AGAATGACACTCTGGCATCCAAACCCCTATTTGGCTTTTTCATCAAGTTGAAAAATTTAGATTTTTTTCCCAAAGGTGAAGACAGTTTAAACATCCTATAATCTGGATACAGTCAGGTTTTCATCACCACCCTCTGCCAAAGTCCCAGGCATCTACATCAGTCTTTTAGAATCCCTAGGGTGGACTTTGTAAACCCATCCCGAGCACTGATCGTTTTGGCTGCTCAAATCCTCCCTATCATCGTTTGTAATGTGCTTCTCTCTGTGTTCAATAAAATAAATTTTCCTAGCATAGAAAACTGCCCTGCTCCCTGATTCATTCTTTAGTGCATATTTATTAGTGTGTGCAAATGAACCAGATTTTAGAATCTGCACAAGGGATCCAAAGCTTGACTTAAGCAAAACCTTTTCCCTAGAAATCCCACTTACCAAGTCATTTAGTGACTGGTACAGGGGATTTTTAGTTATGGGTACTGCTTGCCTAGTGACAAACAAGCCACATTTCTTACAGCCAAGGTGCTTAGAGTCTAATGGGTTAGACAAGTAAGTAAGGTGTTAGTGAAGAGGGCTAGAAGGACTGGAAGTAGATTATGCTAAGCCCAGAGTAGTCACTGGCACTAAGTTGACTAGCACAGCACATCTAGCTTCTTACTAAGGTATTTACATTAGCATTTTTCAAGTGTAGTCCTTGTGTCGTCAAATCAGAATCTCCTGGGATACTTATTAAAATAACACATATTCTCAGGTCCCAAACCAAGCATTCAGAATCAATATCACTGAGGAAGGAGCCCAAGAATGTGCATTTTTATCACCACTTTGAATGATTCTCATGCATATTAGAACTTCAGGAATGTGACCTCAGAGGGATTGGAGCTCCTTGAGAGCTTAGCAAGTACAGCACTGAAAGTTTCCCAAGGACAGCAAATCATAATTAAAACTCTAAAAGTTAAGAAAAAAGGGGGGCTGAGCTTGGTTCCAGTGGTAGAGCACTTGCCTAGTAAGCATGAGGTCCTGAGTTCAAATCCTAGTACCTCCAAAAAAATTAGTTAAGATAAAAAAAAGGGAAATGCAGTAATAAGATTGCACCAGCATCTACTAGACAGGAATCAAAAAAGGATCAACATAGAGGAGAAGCATCTTTAAAGTACAAAAAGAAATCATCTTGAATTTGTCGTGGGTGTAATAAAAATGACAGCAACAATCAAAAAGAGACAAGAATGAAAGAATGAGGTAAAAGACTAAAGACAAGGTGGATGAAGGGAGACAAGGAAATGAAAAGGGTGAAGGGTGCAGAGGAAGAACCTATAGAGATGAAGATGGAGCAGCAGAGTGGCACTAATAATCCTCACATGAATATTTGAGGTGCATAAGAAGGACGCAGGCTGCTTATGTGGGTAGGAAATCTGTCCTCTGTCACCTGTCCTTCACACACCTCTGCAGCTCCATGTCTTAACACTCATTCCTCGCTAAGTTTGCTTCAAGCAACACTGGTCTTCTACTTATTAGACATTTGGAGTTTCATCTGTCTTAGCTTTTGCTCATGTTCTTTCATTAATCTCAAATATTCTTTCAATTATTCCTTCTCTCCACTTCTTTATTTAACTAACTCTGATTCATTTCCAAGATTTAGCTCAGTCTTCTCCAGTGGACTTGTCCTAACACTCATATCACACAGACACACATACATATATGAATGCACGTGTGCAAATACATACATACATTCTTACACAAACATCAGCCTTGGTTAGGTGGCCCTGGCATATTCTAGTAGCATCCTGTGCTTACCTTCTTCCCCACAAGATATCGCATTGAGATTATCTGTCTCTCCATCTTCAAGTAAGGAAGTGCAATTTATTACAATGTTGGCTCTTAATACTGAGCTCAGTGTTTAGTAAATAGCTGATACTTGATTCCTATTTGTTGAATCAACCAGAATTGTGCAAGGTCAGCATTTATTAAAGCAAGAGTGTCACTTAACCTCTCCGATCCTGATGTGTCCTATCTGCAAAACAGAAAACATACCACTTAATAACGTAGATAAATGGGGAAGTAAAATGACTTTATGTATGTACAGCGCCTGCCATGCATTAGGTGACCAATACCATTTATTTATAGTACTTATAGTTCATCTGAACACCACTGTATCAAACAGAATCAAAAGATATGCTACCTGTTATTCATCAAGTCATTGAGAGTCAGAGAGAATTCAGGGGAAGATTTTACTAATCACATTACAATTTTTTTCCCAAGATAGTTCACATCCACTGTCAGAAATAGATTTTCTAATAACTATAAATCCAAATTTCCTTTGAAATTTGTTCAGTTCATTTGTTCATTTCTTCTTTGGGTTTTAATTCTTTGGGAGTTTAGTTTATTGAGCATCCTAAATTCTGGTTAATAATCCCTTATCAGACGTATCGCTACCAAAGATTTTCTCCTGTTCTGGAGGCTGTCTCTTCAATCTAGTAATTGTTTCCTTTGCTGAATAAAAGGTTTTTAGTTTGATGCAGTTCCATTTGTCGATCCTTCCTTTTATTTGCTGAGTTATTAGAGTTCTATTCAGGATGTTATTGCCTGTGCTTATATGTCCCAGTGTTTCCCTATTCTTTCCTGCAATAGTTTCAAAGTTTTGGGTCTTTAGATTATCAATCCACTTTGAATTGATATTGGCACAGGATGAGAGACAGCTCTCTGGTTTCAGTCTTCTACATGTGGATATCTAGTTTTCTCACATCATTTGTTGAAGAGACTGTCTTTCTTTTCTCCAATGCATGCTTGGGGCTCTTTTGTTGAATATTAAATGGCTATAGTTACATGGATTTATCTCTGGGTCTGATATTTGTTCCATTGGTCTTCATGCCTGTTTTTTTTTTTTAACCAGTACCATGCTGTTTATATTGCTATGACTCTGTAGTATAGTTTGAAGTCAGGTCTTGTGATACCTCCAGTACTGCTTTTTTTGCTCAGGATTGCCTTGGCTATTTGATGTCTTTTGTGCTCCCATATAAGCTTTAGGATTGCTTTTTCTCTATCTCTTGAAGAATGTCACTGGAATTTTGATGGGGATCACATGGAACACATAGATTGCTTTTGGTAGTAAGCCATTTCAGAATAAAGAGTCTGCTGATGAGCATGGGAGATCTTGCCATCTTCAGATGGCTCCTTCAATTTCTTTCTTCAGTGATTATTACAGTTTTCATTGTAGAAGTTTTTCACTTTGTTTATTAAATTTATTCCTAGGCATTTTTGAGGCTATCATAAATAGAATTGTTTTCCTGCTTTCTCTCTTAGTCTGTTCATTGTTAGTTTATAGAAAGGCTACTTATTTTTGTGTGCTGAGTTTGTATCCTGCTCCTTTGCTGAAAGTGTTTATGATGTCTAAGAGTATTTGGTGGGGTTTTTAGGGTCTTTCATGTTTAAGATCATATTGTCTGCAAATCAGGCAATATTATTTCTGAGAATAAATTTCCCAGGGAATGTATATTCTGTTTTCTGAATTTTAGAAGTTTCCTGACATCCAGCAACCCTCAAACTATTTTCACGAGTCATGAAAATAATAAGATAAGGGTGTAGCTCACAAACACAAAAGTCACCAGCACAACATTCTTTTTCAACCCAACCTCAAAAGCTCCACAACTAATTATCACTGTAGCTAATGTTGAGTTGTTCCCACTGGTGATTATGCTCTTGCAGAATGTGTGGAACTGGGATATTATGACTAAAAAAGCCTGTATCATAAAGATGAGGGACACACTCCTTGTCCAATAAGCTTAAGTCTTATGGGGACGGATCGATCATAAACTCAGAGGCCTGAGGGATCAAGGCTACAGTGAACTGAAGAGTTTATTAAAATGAGCACACAAAGCAAAACATACCTCAGAGGCAAATTTGGTCTAAAAGTCATCAGCAACCTTTGGGCAATGCTTTAACCTCCCTTCTAACACCTCTTTTATTTTTTTAGACCCCCATTCTTCTCAGCTGTGCTTTAAAGGACAAAGTTATTTTATCAGTTACCAGCCTAGTGAATTCCCCTTGTATTTTTATAATCCTACATTCATACTCCATAAGCAGTCAAAATCCTCAGCCAACAAGCCACAATGTCTAGTACAGAAAGATAATTGATTACTTCACAAATATTCCCTGTAGGTTTTGAAGAATTTAATTTAAGGTGTTTATGTCACACCTAGAAAGCAAGAATTACTCCCATTCCAATTTTATATCCACGACCATAATCAGGACCATAATCAGACCATAATCAGGGAAGGACGTTCAAAAGGCCTGGTATAGCAAACTCAGAGAGTTAGTTTGATCTTATTGAGCCATGAAAAGCTCTTCTCCTGTAATTACTTTGTGTATTTTTATCCTGTCTTCCTAAATTTGTGATTACTGTATGATAGGAAACTATTCAGGATTTGTTTTCCTTTCTCCACCCCAAAACAGTGATGCACTGTTTACATAGTCTCTCATAAGTCACTGTGAGCTACTAAAAACAAAACAAAACAAAAAAATCACTCTAGTGGCTTTGATGATTATTTCCTTATAAACAAGGTGAAGCAATATGCTGTTTTCATAGCAGAAGAGATACACGTCTACTTTTATGAGGCAATTTTGTTTTTTACAAATTGTTGCTTTGACTGAATGTCAATCAGAAACCAGGCCTGTGATTCATGTACACCACAGTCTGATGCCACTTTAGGGATGGTGAACAAGAGGAAAGTGTGATGGCGGTAGCACCTAGTCCTACAAACTTTCAGCCTTTCACATGACCTGGCTTGGAAGGATTAGCTGACTGATAAGCAGTTCTTCTGATGATACAACAATTATATATGCATCTCAAGGGAAAGAGCAGGGAGATGGAAATTTCAGCATCCTTCCTGATGTTGAAATTGTTGCCTCGGCAACTGAATCCAGGGTTCACATTTCAATGGACAACCACAACTCCAGGAAATGACTTTGTATCCTAAGTGTCATCAGCACCTGGCAAGTATATAAAGGTCCCAGATGGGGGAGGAAGACATCACACCTGAGAACACCCAACTGTTCTCCACTCCTCAACCCCACACTAATCCAGACACCACCATGACCTGCTGTGGTTCCTTCTCCTCCCAGAGCTGTGGCGGAGGCTGCCTCCAGCCCTGCTGCTGCCGTGACCCCTGCTGCTGCCGCCCCGTGTCCTGCCAGACCACCGTGTGCCGCCCTGTGACCTGTGTGCCCCACTACACACGCCCCATCTGTGAGCCCAGCCCCCGCCCCATCTGCTGTGACCCCTGTGGCCTGCAGGAGGGCTGCTGCCGCCCCATCACCTGCTGCCCAACGTCCTGCACCGCCGTGGTCTGCAGGCCCTGCTGCTGGGCGTCCACCGCCTGCCAGCCCATCTCTGTGCAGGCGCCCTGCTGCAGGCCCCCTTGCTGCCAGCCTGCGCCCTGCCGCACCACCTGCAGGACCTCCTGCTGCAACCCCTGCTTCTGAGTGGTCCAATACAGGACACTGTCCAATGCTCAGAACCCACGCAGGCTCTTCCCAGTCCTGCTGGAGCAGATGAGAGATGCCAGTCAGCTTGTTCTTCAACAACTAACTCAACAGTAACTGCCTATTTATTCACATGGTTATGAAACCATGAATCCTGGCCCTCTTTGACCACCTTTATGAAAATTCCAGCTATCATCAGTTGAACTCTTGGCTTTAAAAATGTATAAACAAAAATCAAAGTTCCTCTTGAACAAAACTCTGTCTCACTGACTGATCACTTTTTTTCTACTATTTCAAGGTTACCAAATGGGATGATATTTTTTTCCAGTACATTATTTTTATGTTGGTTTTTGTGTGGTAAAAGATAAATAAAATTTTATTTCTGGGGAAGCAAACATGTTTCTTTATTGTTTCTTAATTTTTCAAAGTTCATTTTCAATTTAACTTAAGGTATGTTGAATTAGAAGAACAAAGGGAATAATTTTCTCAGGGCTATATTTTGAGATTTTATTTTATTTATTTATTTTGCAGAACTAGGGTTTAAACTCAAAGCCTACTCCTTGAGCCACTCCACCAGCCCTTTTTTGTAGTGTTATTTGTTTGGTTTTTGTTTTGGGGTTTTTTTTTTTCGAGATAGGGTCTCGTGAACTATTTGCCAGGGCTGGCTTCAAACCATGATCCTCCTCATCTCTGCCTCCTGAGTAACTAGGATTACAGGCATGAGCCACCGGTGCCCAGCTATATTTTGAGTTTTATTATAAGAGCCATTCAGATACAAGGTCTGTAATTTCAAAGACAACTCATATAGTTCAGATAGTCTCATGTGATAGACCTTCATGTTTCAAGCCATAGGTTTTGTGGTAATGGGAAAGAAGCAGTGAGGCTATAGCAAGTCTGTCTACATCATGAACTTCTCAGGAAATTGTCATAGTTCATGAATACGACAGGCATGTGGACCTATTTGCTTCTCAATGTCAAAAACTGTGCAACAATTGATATCAAATAGTACTTGGCAATTCCTAACCACTGAATATCCTATCTGAGAACAGCCACTATCACACCCTCCCCATGACTACCATCAGCACCACCATAGCTAATTTTGTTTCCAATGGAGTTGCTGCCATGAGAAAACAGGGAAAAATGCAGCCTTTTTGGAATCATCCTAATTATGAACTCCACATACATTTTATCTTTGAAACAATGTCAATGTGGCTGGGAGAGTGATGACGCGAGTCCCTGTTGGGTATGGTTTTTTGTTGCTAGACCTTCTAGGCCAATCAGGAAGACTAACTATTGCTTCCCTAAGGGATATATTTTGAGTTCCTGGCATCTAATCTAAATGAGTTTTGTGTAATGTGCTATTTGTATGCTTAGTCATATTTACTGCCTGATGAGAGGAGTCAGGACGAAAGCTTTGCAAGGGGAAAGATCTCGATTCACTTCTCTCACTACTGGATTCTCGCTGATCTGAACAATATTTCGCACATGGGAGGTAATTATTTGTTGAATAAACAAATCAATACTAAGGGCGTCGGAAGAGAAACAGACATTATCACCGCAGCCCAACATCAAGTCACCTCATGTTGAAAATATTTTTCTTGAAATATGGTAAACAGTTTCTCAAAATACAAAATAGGGTATTCAGTGGTTAGGGATACCCTGGGTAATTTTACAGTACATTCTCAATATGTGCACAATGGAATTTTTCTTAAGAGTCTGACTGTTTGGTAATAGACAAGTTTATAATATCGATTTCTTTCTGTATCCCTAATTACCACTTCTAAAAATCTCCAACTATCTCTGCATCCCTTTTTTCCTTTGTAGACTTCTACAGACTTCCTTATCTTATATTGTCTTTTTCTGATAGACAATTCTTTGTTTTCTCCAAAACTCATCATTATTATTGGATCGTGGATCTTGGTTTTTTTCATGGTAACTCTATGCCCTGACGGGTCACAGTGGCTGGTACAGGTCTTGGTGAGCCTGTAAGGGACTGTGCAAGTAGCTCACATGACCAATAAGGAGTCAACTTGAAGCTTCAACCACAGACTTAGTTGTAAAGAAAAATCAGACCTGAGAAAATCAAGAGGCAAGAGCTTCAAAACAATGACACAAATTTTCCTAGAAGGCCTGACAGTTTGAAACAATTGGACATCACACTTTGGTTCTCTAAGCAGAAGTAAATTCACACCTAGTACACACAGGGAGATGTTAGAGACACAGGTATTAGCAAGATGGAGCCTGACACCACTTTCAGCTGGGATCACTACCTAGGAGTTTGTTATATTGAGAGATGGCAACTTTCATCCAGTAGACTCAGGTTTGTTGACTTCCTCACCATATTGGTGTTCTTGGGCCACTTATTTATGCCCAATTACGATACTACATGCTTGGGCTATGCTCTGAAGAAATTTCAGGAGGCTGAGTAGAACAAAATTCTTCCAATTCCTGAGGATAATGGTAACATATTGAGTCCTTTCAGATGACTCTAAAAATTAGCCATGTAGCAATTGTTTCAGAAATACACCATTAAAATTCCTAAATAAAGCAGTCTTCTTCTCCTCCTCCTCTTCCTCCTCCTCCTCCTTCCTCTTCTTCTTTTGGTAGCACTGCAGTTTGAACTCAGGGTCTCATGCTTGCTAGGCAGGAACTCTTACCACTTCAGCCACTCCACCAGCCTTTTTATTGAAAAAGACTTTTTAAGATAGGGACTTTCAAAATATTTGCCTGGGACTGGCTTTGAACTGTGATCCTCCTGATCTCTATCTCCTGAGTAGCTAGGATTACAGACATGAGCCTAATTCTTTATACATAAAATGGGAATATAATAATACCTACCACATAAGAATGGTTATAAAGAATGTATTAATGCATGTGTTTCTTTAAGTATGACGCTTGAAACTTGGTTAGAACTCAATGATAGTAAATGAAAAATATGAATAATGAAATTCATCTTGGTTTTGGAAAGATAAAACCCTGGAAATCAGTGCATATGTATCTAAGACAAAACCACTGAAGATATATTCCTGTAGCTCCAAAACTTGGATGGAAATTTCTCTTTAATTGACAAACCTAGACTTTTAAAATGTTGTCATAGTGATGTCTTCAATATGTTTTTGCCCTGACAACTTAGCAGTACAAAAGGATGCTCACAACTGGTGAATTTACTTCCATTGTTAGTCAGTAACTCATGGGCATGACAGCCACTCTGTGCTATCAAAACATCAACTGGCAAAAGCATCATCAAATTATAAATATAATTGGAGGCTTTGAAGTTAGGACCATTAAGATCATATCGGAACCATAAATAGCAAAATACAATGGGTCTCCATTAAATAAGGGAAACAATCTTTTATAAACACTGAGAACCCAAAAGATGTCTAGAGAACTTACTAATCTGCCAGTGTCATCTCAGAAAGAACAAGCCAAAACAATGAAAAGACCTTGTGTCCCAAGTGTCATCAGCACCTGGCAGGTATATAAAGGTTCCAGACAAGGGAAAGAGACATCACACCTGAGAACACCCAACTGCTCTCCACTCCTCAACCCCACACTAATCCAGACACCACCATGACCTGCTGTGGTTCCTTCTCCTCCCAGAGCTGTGGCGGAGGCTGCCTCCAGCCCTGCTGCTGCCGTGACCCCTGCTGCTGCCGCCCCGTGTCCTGCCAGACCACCGTGTGCCGTCCTGTGACCTGTGTGCCCCACTACACACGCCCCATCTGTGAGCCCAGCCCCCGCCCCATCTGCTGTGACCCCTGTGGCCTGCAGGAGGGCTGCTGCCGCCCCATCACCTGCTGCCCAACGTCCTGCACCGCCGTGGTCTGCAGGCCCTGCTGCTGGGCGTCCACCGCCTGCCAGCCCATCTCTGTGCAGGCGCCCTGCTGCAGGCCCCCTTGCTGCCAGCCTGCGCCCTGCCGCACCACCTGCAGGACCTCCTGCTGCAACCCCTGTAGCTAAGCAGCCCATTAATACTAAGGTTCCACCAATCGATGGCCAAGTCCATCCTGCTGCCCTTCAGAGCATCATAGCAGAAAACGGCATTTTCTTGAGAAGGGCATTCCTCATCTCTTGAAGCTAGCTCAAGCTATGCATGGAAGACACCTTTGAGATGAACTAGTGATAGAGAATATTCTGTCCTCTTTGATCTCTATGCCGTGTTGTCTGCTTTCTAATAAACTCAATACTCTCAGCATAGAACACATGGTCTTTGTTATATTTCCTTTAGTAGGTTATCCAGAGATTTTCAAGGCAAGATGCAGAATAATCTTCCTAAATTGTTCTCTGAAATGATGTTAGTCTCAGTAGTTTGCTTATAATCATTATGGGCACCATATCTGATGAGACAGGCAGAAATAACCATATCTTCTTCACACGCCCAGAATTCCTGACACACATCAGCCACCTGAGAAATGTCCTGCAATGAGGAGCAGATTAGGAAGTTATGCCCAGATGACACTACATTCCCAGTCTGAGGCTTTGTTTCTTGAGCGAACACCTGTTGGCATATCACAAAAGCCCAGTAAGTTAGAGGTGGAAGGAACTTCTGTTTGTGAAGAAGAAAAATGAGTAATGAATGATGAATTAAGTTAGAAATAATATAGATAAAATGTAATTATAATCCCAGGTATCCCCAAATAACCCCAAAGAATACATTTCCTGACATTAGATCTTTAGTCAAATGCTTATCAATATGATAGAGTCGTGTTCAGCTACCCAAAGTAATTATGCTCTAGTGCCCAATATAACTGCTACTTCGGATAATGAATTTACTTCTATGTGCTTGACATTTGATATTTAGATCATTATTTACAACACCAATTCTTGTGGGTATTAAATCCATACTAGGTCTCCCTGAACTCTTATCTTTGTGCTCAGAAACTGCACATCGGTGGCATTTTGTAAACAAATCAATCAATTACTACCAATCAACATGTTTTTATTGAAATATATAAATGAGATACTGAGCTGATGACCTGACAGAAATACACAGAAATCAG